GGTCGCACACCACTACACGTACCGCGCGTGCTCTCCTGCTGTACGCAAAGGTGCGCGTCTCGGCGCGAACCCTCGCCGGCTACGGCGTCCCGTCGCGAGAGGCCCTCCTCCGCACTAGGGTTTCTCCGCCGTCAGCCCCGAAGGAGGCAGTCAACATGGTGTCGGCGACACCCAACAGCATCACCGTGGGCTGGGTGCCTCCCAAGTACGAGAACGGTAAGGGTGTTGTTGAGCGAGCACACGCGTGGCGTTCGATCACGCCTTCGGGCAACCTGTTTTGGGTAGGCGGGAATTCTGTTCTTGCCCGTGCGCGCATGTGTGTGCAACAAGGCCAGGTTGAGGACTTGGCTGTGGGGTTGGCGTTGGCGGTGGCTGGCTTTGTTTCGCTTTCGAGATGACCATGTAATCAGAGATGCTATGCGTTTGCCATTTTGGGCGCGAATGGCGCGCGCAAAGGTGAATGCTGTGGTGAAATCGGTCCGTTTCCTTTTTCCAGGCAATAGCGGCCAAGAGTCACTGATAATGAACGGAGAAGACAGAGAAGTTTTGTTTTGGGGAGGTACAAAGGCAGTATTGGTTCAACGGGTCCTGTTCCGGCTACGCCATGACACATGCCAAACAAATCGCCCCCCTCAGTGCGGAGACCGCTTAAGGGCGGCAGAGAACCATCTCCTGATGGGTAGAATGTTAGACAACAATCCACATCGCTAGACATCACGTCCACATCTCGTTTGCACCCAGACTAAAGCCATCTCATTTGTTCCACACATCCCCGGCTGGTGGTGCATTCTTACTCACTACGTCGATGCATGGCAAACAGGTGAGCCTATCACCAGGTACGAGATCCAACGGCTGGTTCTCGACCGGCATCACCCCGATTGGGACAAGGGGCGTGTGCTGGCCAAGACTGGGAGCAGTGAACTCCTCACTACCACCACCGCCACCACCACCAGCAGCAGCGATTGCAGCGGCAGTGGCAGCGGCAACAGCAACGGGGACGACGAGAGCACGAACAACGTTACCGCAACGACTTCAACCGATTCTATCTGCTCTGCCTCGAAAACCCAGACCGAGGCAACACAAGCTACAGCAGAGGCGCCCGCGTGTTTTGGCTCCCGCGTGGAATCGGGCTCTACTGAAGAATCTAGGGTCAAGCTACCGTCGGTGTCGGGAGGAGGGTCGGGGACGGGGACGATGGACGAGGACAAAAAGCAGATCGGAGTATGGATCGGGCGAAGAACTGACAAACTGTCTCCCCATCATACCGCGGGGGGGCTTCCCACCTACTGCAGGTGCGCCAGATGAGAAATGCACTTGGTACATGCTTCAGGAGACTTTGTGTGGCAAGGGGGGTATGGGGAGAGAAAGATGGTGGGCGGCACATGTCAAGGTGCAGGGGGAATCTCCGCTTTGCTCAGTCACTGCTGATGATTTCTTCGGGGCTAAAATTGCAAGACTATCCCACCTCGCAGTGTAGACCTATTACACTCTCATTTTTCCCGCCCGAAGAAGCGAAAAGACTTTCCTGGGGCACAAGGAGGCTATAAAACGGCTTAAAGACACACTGAAAACAAATCCTACTCCCATTGGGCACAAACAACAACCACAGGGCTCTGTTCCGGGTGAGGGCGGGGAACCTGGCGGGATGGGGTCCTTGGTCACCCTCGAGCGACGCCCTGGAGGCCCAGGACATCATCCTACCCATCAAAAGAGGCGCCACCCAGATGCTCATACGTTGGTTCAACAAGCCCGACGGGGACGTCTTGCGATGGGAGCTGTCGAGGCGGGTACGTAAGGGTACAGACGAGTGTGTATTTGAGGGGATTGGGGGGGTGAGGGTGTAGTTCCCAGGGTTGTATTTGGATCGATCTTGGTGGGCGTGTACCCTGCGTGCACACGAATAAGTCACATGTTCTGTAGGCATGCGCATGCACTTGAAAGTGTCTGTGTTTACGTGTTTCGTTTGATTTCGAGCGAAGGAATATTGAGTATCGCCTTGATCGTGCATTCGTCTCGCAAGGGGTCACAGCAGACACGCTATATCATTTGGCCGGGGGGGGGGGGGNACCAGGCTCTCACATCACCAAGCGCGAAGCGCCGTGAGATATTCGGCGAGTCGCATGAAGGGTGCGCTGCATCCTGCTTAGGGTGTTCGGCATCCTTGCGTACGAATGCAGCTGCGTATGACTTAGTTTATTATCTGGTGCTTCACTTTCAGAGACAGTTGTAAGCACTGTGTAACTGCCTCGACGGTGCTTGACCAATTCAACACAACGTGGTGTGATCATCCCCCTTGCGCGGAGTGAGTGTTCTCGACCCCGCACAACATGATCTACTCGACCACCATTATGGTTACCGTCAAAAACAAAAAACAAAGGTAAAAAAAAAAAACGGTAACCTGGTTGCCGAGTTCACGAAGTGAATGGGCTAGTTTTACAACGTCGTTGCCAAGCGACGAAAACCCAATCCCGATGGCAAACACCGAGGGGGGGCATTTGGCCGGGGAGTGTTGATTCACCCGTCAATCTCGAGTACAATGTGTGCGTAGCGGTGCTAAACTTGTGTGCCCTGTTGCTCATGCCTCAATTTCCAGTGTATGAACGGCTCTAGTATCAACCGCAAAGCACGGTAGTGTCAGCAGACCGTCAGTCACTAGCGGGGGCCTTAAGTTGCGGTGTTTCAATCCCCGGTCGCTCGCCGCCTAGCTTCAAACACTTCCCGCCTCGCGGATCGACTCTCTACCAAACGGGCTACGTACCAGGTCTTCAAGTACGGCACAGACTTCAGGGGCGACAATGACGGCAGCTGGATATTGTGTTCGAGGGATATTCCTGGTTTACGCGAAGGCGAGAGCACGTTTCGCTGCAAAGGTACGGATTTTTTTTTTTTCGGTCATGTTAACGATGACGTACGGCACTTGGGGAACGTATCACGAGGCGTGTATATCCATGTCTCAGTCCGCCCCGCCCCCTGTCTATACCCCGGCGGATTACATGCCCCCTAGGACAGGTCTCATGCCCGGAACAGAGTACCAGTTTCGGTTGCGCGCGTACTCCAACGGCTGCTGGCAGGCCAGCGAAGAGTCCATCGTGAGCAGTCCTTTCAAAACGATCTGCTCGCCGCCGGACGCGCCCCCCGCCTGCCCACGCGCCCGCCAGCTGGCATCGGACCCGCTTGTGGTAGGGGGGATTGTCGACACTGGGGCCTTGTTGTCAGCCGACGCCGAAGAACCCGCAACAAGCGGTATCAGGAAGGGGGACAATCGTCGTGATGGTGATGGTCATGGTCATGGTCATGGTGTCGACGGAGGGGGGTCCGTGGACGCGGGCAGGGATGCTGCCTTCTCGAGGAGAACGGGGGCGGCGGCTGCGGCGGCCGCTGTTGTCCGAGGAAAGACTCGCGCGGAAGAAGACTTCGCCGACACCGGAAGAGATGTCAATGATTGCGCAGATGTCGGCAGCGAAAGTCGTTACGACGGTGACAGCAGTGACAGCGATGGCGACGATCGGAGGACGGAAACGCATGGTGACCAGGGTGCTGGTGAGGGAGTCGTCATGGTCGCTTGCAAGAGTACTGTCAACGGGGAGGGTAGAGCGGAGGTGATGGGGCTCGAGGTGGAAGATCGGGACACGCGTGTCCCAACAAGCAGGGACGACGAGGAAAGAATCCGGCGACGGACGCACGAAGCGACATCCCAGGAGGAAGAGCAGGACGAGGTGGGCATGGAGCAAACGGGCGTGCGAGGAGTGCGGTTGAGCAATGAAGCGGAAAGCATCAGGGAGTCGCCTTCCCTGCCCGCGTTATCTTGTGATGCCGCGACGAAGAGAAATCACACAGAACTGGAAGAAGGAAAAAGCCGAGAGGATGAGAGTGTGGAAGGCTTTGCGAAAACAACCAAGTTAGGCTCGAGCGCGTCGACGACGATGGTACTAGAGTGGGACGCGGGTTGTACTAATGGGTCGGTCACTACCAACTACGAGGTGAGATAGGAGCCTTTTCAAATCGCGGCTTGGAAGATCCAGAAAAACAAAGCTACTCTCTCGGGGCGATGGAGTTTGGAACTAATTGCGAGAGGTTTCGCTGATGTGTGGGAATAGTAAATGGAACAAAACACTACTTTTTGGGCACAGGTGTGCACAAAAATTCGCCAACCACAAGCACTTTTGGATAACCCGTCATTGAGGCGGTTTTATGAAGGCATTTCGGCCGTCGGGGAACAGACAACGCTTCGACCGTCGGTCTTGCGCCATTATTGCGACGACAATATCACCGCGTGACGTTAGGTATGGGGCGTGGCAGACTCCACCCAAGGCCAAGACAAGACGAGCGGAAGTGGCAAGTGGACACTGGTAGCTTTGACGGAGGCCGCACCGACTGCAACCCTTAGTGGGTTGCGCGAGGTGAGCTCCTGACCCAAGGGAAGCGGTGTGTTCTGACGTTGGATAATAAAGCGCTTCATCAGAAGTTTCACCTGTCTCAGCTTATCATTCTTTCTCGTGTCGTCAAGAGAAGATGCTATTTTATGTACATACATTACCATAAGCGATATATAGGTATGTAAGTCCCTTTGCAACCCCCCTCTCGTGTCCACGCGACAGGCGCAACCATACCGTTTCAAGGTCCGAGCCCGCAACGGGCTAGGATGGAGCGAGTTCGGCCCGCCTACCCCACCGGTTGTCTTGAACCCGCTACGGCCTTGCGAAGCGCCGGAGCTGGTGGACCGAGGCATAACATGGCTGGCTTTGAAGCTTCGGGCGCCTCCAGGGGCGGGGCTGCTGCTCGGCTTTGAGATGCACATGTATGTTGGTCGTTGAATTTCACGTGACGTCGTACTGTGCGCTGCCGTTCAGTTATGCAATATGCCCGCAGGTTCTGGACAGTTTGTCGCGGTAACAAGGTAGTCCGCCGGTCTTTCCATGTCATATGCCTTATGTTTAGGCGTGCGAATATAAGGACGTGTTCAAACAAATCAAAGGTGAATTAATACTGGGCGTGGCGAGCGTATGGGTTGCATACCACGTTCAAAGTGCATGTCGAACCTTCGTCCCAATCTTATGCTTGCAACAATGCTTCATACCCCGTGACCCCCCGCGGTGCGTGAAAAGGAGCAGGGCGTTAAACAATGATCTATGCATGACTTGATAGGGATGCGTGATTTGAAAGACACTTTTATCAACATCGTGGGTATTGTACGGTCATGTACCTCGCCTTTGCCGCGGCTATCAAAGGTGCCGGTGGGCCCCCGGAATGAGCGAGGGCGAAGAAACGTGGAGCCTAGTGGTGGACTCCCAGAGAGAGGAAGGTGGTCGAGAGGACCCCTCGTCGACAACAACAACAACAACAACAACAACAACAACAACATTCCCATCGTCAAGGCGTGAGGAGTCCCGCATGGTATGGGACTTGAAGCCAGGGGCAGGCTACCGCTTCAAGGCGCGCGCACGAACGGTGATTGGTTGGAGCCCCGGAGGGCCCGTGAGCGACGTGTACAACACTGCGAGGCGTTTTTGATCTCATTTTCAACCGATTTTTCGCAGAGAGGGTTCGCACATTGTTTCGGAATCCATGTTGTAAGGCACCGGACGTTTTGCGTTTCGTCTAGGGCCATTGAGGAGCAAGGGAAGGCAGAGGATAACCTTCTATGAGCAGGACATTTTTGCTAGAACGCTTGATTCTGCTTTCGACCATGTCCTTGCCGTATCTGTGATCCCGGGTTCTTCCCGCGATATTTTGCACACGGTCGGCTTGGAGTGACTGGAAACAACAAGGCAAAGGTGAAAGACAACACCGACATTTACTTCGGGCACTAGCTTTCATGCCACGCATGCATTGTATTCTGCGCTCCTCCAGGAGAGAAACCTCAAGGGGAAGGCGGGGGCTCGGGGCATATCGCACGGTACGTCGTGATTCGATTGGGGAATTGCGCGAAACTGCCAACAACGGCTCTTCTTGACCACAAGCAAGGGTCAAACTTGTTCCGAAGAACTCGGTCACTTGATGTCTATGTGATCCATCTCACACAGTACCGCTACAGAAAACCGTGGATATAGTCATCATTACAGCAGAACGTGAGCGCAAGGATGATATTTCGCAAACAAACTCGTGACACTAAATTGTGGGCCATACAATCTGCGTTGGCCACTGGCCGTCTCCGCCAGCAACCAGAACAACAAAACAACTGGACAACGAAGTCGCAGAATAACGATATCGACGGGGAAGCAAGTGTGTCGTCTAGGAATACATCTACTACGCTCGATGAGAATAATATTGACGCAGAAGCACAAAACATCATGCCGCACCAGAAAGGACCTCATTGACGCTTGGGGGGGTGGGTTGCTTTCTGAGAAACGCAAAACTACACACGACAAGTTAGTACGTATATGACACAAGATAACACACTTCCTGGACCGATTTTCAAAGCTCGATTACTCCACGATGAAGAGGATGCATAAACGAAATGATACATTTTCGAAAAGCTCTCGACCAGGCGGTTTCAACGCCGCCATTTTCGGCGCTGTGACTGTTTCTGCAGTTGAGAAATCGAGCTTCGAAAATCGGTCAAGAGGGTGTGTTATCTTGTGTCATATACGGTACACAACTTCGTCGAATGCTCCAACAACCGCCATCGACTGAACCCACAAAGAGTGACCGCTCAGGACGTGCTCTTGGTACCCTGAACAACTGAGCCCACCTCTCTGACCCTCTCATTGAAAAGTGCGCCTTACATCGAAGGTCAGTACATGACACTCATCCTCCCACTCACCAAAAACGAACCAAAACTCCACACCACCCGTCCTGTCCACGACGAGATCACCAGCCAGCCTGGAGGTAGCTTCAGGACAAAAAACAAAACAAAACCGCAGTACTGCATCACAAGTCCGGCCGCCCCCTCCGATGGGTGTTTTGCATCCTGGTGGTGGCGTCTTCGTGTCAACGAACCTTTCTGGGAAGAAAGAAACAAAGAACAGGCACTTCGGAAGCAAGCCCACCGGGGACCCCGTTATCCCCGCCCAATCATCCTCCAATTGTAACAGCCGCTACTACTCGAAATATCAGGGCACGGCGCGCACGCCACAGCAAACACACATGCGACAATGTACTCTCCAAGGTTTTGGGTGCGGTGCACTACTGCCGCTACTATGCTACATCTTCCGCTGGCGTAGAGAACGAGCGTGCCCCCCTGCAAGACCAAGCTCTACACGTCGGCGAGAGAGGGAGAGAATGAAAAGCAGAGGACCCGACATTCAGCCACGTCACAGCGCGGGGATCCCGAAGCACGGATCCTGCCCCCTCTCTCTATTCATCCTTGGCTCCCTTGGAAAGCTCCCAATCGCATCGCCAAGGTCCGAACCCGAGGAGGGGGTGGTCCACGTCCCAGCCGTTTCGCCGCAAGCTGAACACAAACTCTCCGAATTTTTCCTGGGTGAACCGGTGGGACTCGGTCAGCAGAGAGAGGCAGCGCTCCCGCTCCAGGCAGTCGCGTACGTCCACTCCCTTCAACAACGCCGCCTAATGGTGAGTCCGACAGGGGGGGTTGTGGTAGATGGAGGAGGGGTCAGCTTGAGGGTGGGCACTGAGGTTCACCTTGTGCTCACCATGTGTAGGGGTGTACAAATGCGAATGAATACTTCCTAGTGTACTTTTATGTACAACGTTGGCAATAAATCACTGGAAGATTTCTCGCGTGTTTCCGTTTGCGGCTTCATGTTCCAGGGTCGACGACAAGCCAACAACAACAACGAGCAAAGAGATACAAGAACAACAAGGGCCCCCTCGTCATCATCATCAACAACAAACACACCTTCTCCCAGAACACGACGCACAGAAAGTAGGCCTTGAGCATGTCTTCCTGGGTCGCCGCGGAGTTCAGCACGACGCTAAGGCAGCCTGAAGGACTCATTGCCGCCATGAATCTAACACGCGTGACGTCAGTGAGAGGCGAGCGAATCCGCACCAGAGGCAAGGTTGCCGGCCACGAACCGCGCGAGAGTGCAGACGTACACAGCCGTATGGCAAATGGAGGGCTTACACCAAAGGAGTAAACATAAACAAAGAAGAATCCGGCGATGCATCCGGCATGAGTGTGTGTGTGTGAAGAAACGCATGTCACCTCTCTTGCTCAACGCAAACCAGTGTAGCGATCACCAAAAACCACAGACCCCCCCCCCCCCCCCACACA